CTGCGTCACAGAGAGACGGACGAGGTCATTGTTCTCTCGGGAGCTTCTCAGCCTGAAGGTCAGAGCCTATGTTTGTAATGGCATAGGCTTCTCCACTCTGCAGACAGCCACATAATTGTGCGTCCTCCGTAGAGGGTATAAAAGAAAAATAATGGGAAAAATCCATTCCTTGCGTTAGTCCATTGACATGAGCAGATAATAATGTTTCAGCGTAATGCACTTTTCCACCTGTACTTTCTACTCTCTTCTTACTCGGCTTGTTTCCCTTTTTATGTTGTTTTCCATCCATTTCCTCGTTCTATGTTGGATTGGTCCAAATAGTACTCCGACACGTGGCATGGCAGTGTTTCAAAACATGTCTTAACATTTCAGATTTTCATCGACTTTTCATATTATGATGTCAGATGGTGGTGGATTTTTAAATTTTCATGAAAACACACATTGTGCCAAACTAAGTGGTCAGGGTCGCTGAGGTTTCTTATATTTTCCGACTGGGTTTAGTGTTATTCCTTGCAGATGCAGGAGGGTCTGTCTGTCAGTGGGTCTAACAAAAAGGAAATTATGATTCCAGGACTCTCAACGTTAACCCTCATGGACATTGGTCTCTGCCGCTTATGGACCAATGTCTCCATGTGGTTTTTTATCACTTGTGTTTTATTTGATTCTCTGATCTGTGTTGGCAAATTCAAAACATTTCTAAAGTCCTTAGTCCAAGATAACTAGTGTTGTGATTTAGGGCAATACAAGAATAGACCGAATTTAATCAAAGTGAATTGTATTGTATTATTGGGGCGACAGTAGCTCAGTTGGTAGAGCACTGGCCTTTGGGCCTGAAGACCTACTTCACGACTCCCACTGATGACTGCTGTCGTTGTGTCCTTGGGCAAGACACTTAACCCCACTTTGCCTGAAGCCCCCACTGGAAGATCAAGTCTCCTGTGGACTCACTACCTGCAGGAGGATCAGTGAGGGGCTGGTGCTCTGTGTACTGGGTGCAGCTCTGACTACCACCCTCCCGACCCAGAAATGGATCAAGGGGAAGAAGATGGATGGATGGATGGAATTGTATTGTTAACACTAGAAAACCCAACCGAAATTGGCCCCTGTTTTGAGAAGAGGGAGCTAACTTGCTAGGTTGGCTGCTAACATTTGCATGTATTGATTTGCAAATGTAGGTAATGACTTATAACAGCAGGAGGCTTGGGTGGGCTTTGTTTATTCGTGCGGGGGAGGGAGAGCTGCAAGAGAGTACTACAGTAGTCTGTGAGACCACAGATACACATGTGCTGTGTACCCTGAGAATGCGCTGTATATATTTTGTAATCAGTTTTTCAGTTTTCAGTGATAAAGCACCCAGACTCTACTTCCATATATATACAGTATATATAGGATTAAAGATTAAGATTAAGATGAAGAGATCCTTGTCCCACAGTTGGGAAGTGTCAGTGTTGCATCACCAGTTACAGAACAGAAGGAAAGAAGAGCACAAAGCATAAGATACATGAACAGGAACTCTATACTAAATAAAAAACAGTACATTTCCAACTTCAGGATTATGAAGAAGCAAGAATTAAGTAAAATATCTGACTTAAACACAAAAAAGGAATATAACATCTCTACCAGTGGCATAATA